TCTTCTTCTTCTTCTTCTTCTTCTTCTTCTTCTTCTTCTTCTTCTTCCTTCTTCTTCCTCCTCCTCCTCCTCCTCCTCCTCCTCCTCCTCCTCCTCCTCCTCTGCCTCTTCTGGCATTCTCATGTGCAGTCAGTGGCTGCCTTTGTACAGCATGGTAAGTCCAAAAGATGTTTCGAACAGACACTTTGACCTTGGTTACTGAACCAATCCATGTTCTGGGTGTACACAATACATTGGATCACAAGGTGGCTTGTGTTTATTCAATGTATGACTTCTCCCCAAGGTTAAGAATAACCAGATTTAGCACATTATGCAAAAGAGGGAGTAAGTCTTTAATGATGAATAAAGTTGTATAAATAAAGTGAATACATTTGAATTCTTGTTCTTTGGGTTGTCAAAACCACTCAGTCCATTTTGGCTCATTCAACAATTGTGGTACAACCTGTACTTAGCTCATTTTGGAAGATTGGGCAAAACCCAGGCCAATGTTTTTACCATCCATTCATTCCATTTTCATTGCCAGTTTTATCCGGATGGCGTGGAGTTTCCTTGGCAGAAAGGAACAGAGAATGCAAAAGAACCAAACTGTGCTGCTGGTCTGATGAAGCAGGCCTGGCATGGGATCAAAATGAATCACCTGGAACGCAATCAATATTGTCTCCTCCAATGTGGTTCTAGGTTTCGGTTTATAGAAAGATGGAGAAGAAAAAGGTAGTCTAGATGAAGGCACGGAAAGCAGTCTGACATTGCTGCTGGGATCTCCGTGTTCCTTCAAAAAAGACGCATGCATTTCTCTGTGGGTAGAACCTTGGAGCATCTTTTATTCTCCCATAGAGTCTACCCTAGATTTTTTGTAACCTGCAAAAAACCATAATCATAATGGTGCTGTTGGGGGCATAATGAAAAACTTGACCAATCATCAGGGAACGGCACAGAGTCTGCAGCCAAAGATGCCTGGCAGTGCCTTACCACTTCCAACAAGTTGCATTCTTCTGTGGTATCTATCTGGAGCCAGCATCTCCAACCCCTTCTCTGTCTGTTTGAATGTATATGTATGTGAGGAGAGAGGGAGAAGGAGAGGGAAGGAGGGAAGGAGGGAGAGAAAGAGAGAGAGAGAGGAGCAGAATCAGCCATCCAGTGCATAGCTCTCTTCCTTCCCTCCTTCCCTCCCTGCTTCCTTCCCTTTTTCCTTCCTTCCTTCCTTCCTTCCTTC